TTAATAAAACTTATTATACAAATTGTACTATATATAATTAATTAGTTTTAAATGTAATTTTATTAATACAAATAATGTTTAATAAAAATTATTAATGCCTTTTAATGATTTTTTGCCTGATAAACAATTTTTTGCCTGATAAATGATTTTTTGCCTGATAACTGATTTATTATAATCATCATTAATTATAAAAAATTATGGGATACTGAATAAGTAAATCTACTAATAAATTTCTTAATTATCAAATATAATAATAAAAATTAATTCCTAAATAAAATAATCTTGTATATTATTTCTTCTTCAAAATACTTCTAATAATATTATAATTCTTGGATTTTATAATATATCTAACATTATAGATGCCTGCCGAAACCTCCTCAAAATAATTTTGTCATACCCTTTTCTATATTTTTAATATAGTTTCGACAGTTTCAGCTTTCGTCGTATCGAATGGGTTTCGTCGTATTCCTTATTATGATTTAAATATAGTTTCGTCTAAGTTTCAACTGTTATTAAGGGGTTTCGTCCCTCATCTATATCTAACATAAATTAGCTTTATATTAACTATTTTTATATAGAAGTAATTTTATATATCATTAAATATTAAGATAACAAACAAATGGAAATTTTAATAATTATATTATAAATTTGACTCTTAAAATTCTAATAATACTAATATTCACTTTGTTTAGTTTTATTATAATATATTCCAATTATTTTAATAATATAAGAATATCAAGAAGTTAATTTAAATTTCTAATCATAATAGTATATAATTTTTTTAAGAATATTTAGAAGAATCAGTTAAATAAAAATTTAATAAAAGTTGATTTAGCAGTAATTCCAGGTGGTTTGACAAGTGATTATCAACTACTTGATATTACAATTAACAAACCTTTTAAAGATAATCTTCATGTGACATCTTTAAATGACTAATGGTAGTAATAGGTATACTAAAGCAGAAAATCTTTGATATATAAGATAAGTGAAGTATGTGAATAAGTTAACTTAGAAAAATGTTTCTAAAGAAATATTATTCATTCCTTTAAAAAGTGTAATATATCAAATACCTTAAATGGAATAAAAGATGATGAAATTTACAAAGAAATTGATGAAATTTTTGATGAAATTCAAAATAAAATAAATAGAAATGTGGAGAATATAGAAAATGAAATAGAAATTATTGTTTGAATAATAGTTAAATTCTTTTATTGTAAATATAATATTTTCTATAATAATGTAATATTTTGGTTTGCTTATTTTTGGTTTATGACTGATATTATGTAAAACAAGGGGATGCTTATTTTCGGAGGGTGTTTAATATTGGAAAATACAAAAATACGGTAACTATTTAAAATATTACTAATTTATATATTTTATCAAATTGTTTTACTAGTAATATTCTCATATTTTAAAAAATAAAAAATTATTAAATGTATTTTTAAATTTTGTTATCATACTTAAATTATTATTAGTAATTAACAATAATTAATAAATTTAAATCAAATAAAAAAAAAATTCGAATCATAATATAAAATCGTTTTTTAATTAAATTTTAAATCAAATCATTTTTTATAATAGTAATATAAATAAAAAGTTTAACTATTAATTTGGATTCTTTTTTTAGAACAAATTTATTCTTTATAAAATAAAAATTTTAAATTATTTAATATTAACGTTAATGTAATTATTATAATTTAATATAAATCTTGATTATTATTCTAAAGCAAAGTATAATTATTCTAAAATTTATTAAATCCTTCTTAAGTTCAAATATAATTATAAAGTTTTTCCAGCAAGTTTTTTCTTATTAATCTCATCTAATTGTTTCTTACTACTAACTGATAGTTTATTATAAGCTTCTAATCCAATACCCGAAAAAACAAGTAAGACGGCAAACCATTGTTCAACGTTTAATTGATGTTCAAACCAAAATATTGATAATAATATAGTGAATAATTTTCGAGTAACATTGACAGTAACTAAGAATAATGAACCGAAATTCATCAATGTAAAGAAGATAAAGCACTGCCCTAATGCTCCACACAAAGAAAAAAACAAAATATCTTCCAACACTTTTGGATATTTCATGCAAAATTCTATCGCATTATTAAGTTCATGATTAATAGGTGATAATAAGTAAATGAACATTAACAACCCACAAAATAAATTCATAAAAAACATCATTTGTTGTCCCGTGATTTTAAATTTTTCAAAAATTTGATCTTGCTTAGAATTTGTTATACCATCAATTAACAAATTCGTCGTTAATAATAATATACCATAAAATGAATTCGAGGACATTGTTTTCTTTTTTTCACTAATCGGTTGTAATAACATGAAAGAACTCACTCCAACCGTAATTAAAAAAACCACTACATATTGATGTGGAGGAAATGTTTTTCTATTTAAAATTTTGCTCATCAACATGACTGGTACTAATTTACACGATTTCCCCAAGATCATGGTTGGATAATCTATGTGTTTTAAACTTTCATATCCAAAAGGTGATCCAATCGTACCGAAAAATGCTACTTGAATTAATTTTATGAATAACTTGGAATTAACATTATCAAGGATGGATTTTCTTGTGATTAATAAATATAAAAATGCTACTATTGATGCCATAAATGACTGTATCATATTCAAGAAAACGAAGTATTTAAATCTATCTGACCGTGATTCTCCATATGATGTTGTCGATACTCTTTCTTGTAATACTCCCCAGGTTAAAAAACACGCATAGATTCCTGTAACGCTAAAAATAACTTTAACTACTGTCATTTTTTGTTGTTGTTGTTGTTGTATTGAGTAAATGCAGAAATTATTACAATGTCATTTAATTGTCAAAGTATTCTGCTTTAGTTAAATTCGCAAAAAAAAAGAAAGAAAGAGGGAAGGTGATTAATGTAAAAAAAAAAAAAATTTATTTATTGTATTTATATATATCGTGTGTTATTTTTATTGGACTAATTGATCTCAAAAATGGGTTACTAAAAATAGATAAGTAGGTATTTAAATAAATAATCCCGTGACGATGCTTAATCTTTTACCCCTATATCACCTATAACAACTTTAAGGGCTCTAACGAAACGAAATACTTCTGAAAAATTGTTATACATAGGATTTGGGGCAATTCTAATGATATCAGGACTTCGCTCATCGACAACTGCTCCGTAACTCATTAATTCTTTATGAACTTTCTCTTGTACACTGCGCTCAAAAAATTTTAATGAAAGTTGACATCCTCTTTGATGTGGATCACGTGGTGTAATAATTTTAAATCCTAATCCATTTAACTGTTTATCTAATAAATATTCTAAATATCCTGTAAGTAATATAGATTTAGCACGTAGATTGACCATACTCGTTCTTGAAAATAATTCCAAACTTGCCAATAATGATACTACGTTCAATACTGATGGATTAGATACTTGAAATCCACTTGCTCCAGGAATTGGCTTGAATTCTTTTCGAGAGGTAAAATAAAAATAAATTTAAAATTAATTCTTTTGAATTGTTTAATAAACAAACTGAATTCAACTTTTACTCACGTTGATCCATTTTAAATCTTGATTTCCGTTCCGAACCCCACCATCCTGCCAACCTATGATGTTACATACCTTTATTAATGAAAAATTTCGAATTTTTTTGTTAAAATGTTTTCATATAAGTCAAGATATACATACCTCGGACGATTGAAATCGTTGGCATGTTTTTCGTGGAGAAAGATACCAGCGATACCTCCAGGTCCAGAATTCAAATATTTATAAGAACACCATGCTGCAAAATCAATTCCCCATTTATGAAGTTTGAGAACAACATTACCAACAGCATGAGATAAATCAAATCCCACAATACATCCCTACAAAGTACGTATTAAAAAATAATTATTTTATAAAAAAAAACAAAGTCAAAATAAAAAGAAAGATATATAATAAATTTTCCAAAAGCATATTGATACCTTTCTTTGAGCAGCTTGAGTAATCTTTTTCATTTTAAAGAATTGTCCAGTATAATAATGAACTCCGCTAAACAATACCAAAGAAATGGTGTGACCTTCTTTCTCAATGATCTCAAGAATGGAATTAAGTGGTACAACACTTTCTCCTTCAGGTGGTGTCACCTTGATCAATTCTTTAGCGGGATCTAATCCATGGAATTTAATTTGAGATTCTATTGCATACTATAAATATTAATACATAGATTAAATATAAATGATATCTTGTTTAAATTTAAATAGAACTATATTTAAAATATACACTAACAAGATCGGTTGGGAAAGCCATTGGCTCTATCAAAATCTTTTTACGAGTCTTTTTTGTATTTGGTGTATAAAATGATGCCATAAGTAGATGTAAATTCGAAGTAAGAGTATTCATAATAGCAATCTCAATAGGTTTTGCTCCTAGAAAAAAAAAAAAAAAAAAGATTTGTTTAACTAATCTTAAAAAGTTTTCGAAAAAATGAAAATTTATCAGTTTACCAACTATATCTGCCATCTTTTCTACAACAGTGTCTTCAATGGATACCCACGGTCGATTATGTTTATGTTTAAAATGACCAACAACTCCTCTTAATACATTTGAAAAAAAAAAAAATTAATAATATTTAAAAAAAAGAAATTTACATATTTTATAATTAATGAAAATAGTGATATATACGATGAAGCCCATACGTCAAGTTCTTGACTAATCAATTCTCTTGCACGCTTTGGCATTAATCCAAGTGAATTACCACAAAAATACATGCACTCTTCTTCGGGACTTAACGCCTCTTTATTTACAAAAGATTATAACTTTTAATTTCAACAATTGAGGGAATCTCTCTCTAAAAGATTTTATAACTTACCAACTTTATCAGTAACAATATCACGAGATTTAGGAATGGAAAATTCATATCTTAAATATTTTAATTTATCATTTTCATCAAGATATTGGGCAAAATTACTGCTTAAAGGATCAACTTTTCCTCTATTAGCAAGTTTTTCTAAAAATTCTTTAACTTCTTTAATACCGTGTTTAAACTTTTGATATTTAATTTCATCATTAAGGTCTTCCGTAAGACCTTTAAGATGTGGTGCAAGTATATCAAACATTTTTGAACAAAAATTTCTTGGGGGAACTATGGATATTTATAATATTTGAATCAACCCCCCTGGATCACATGGCGTTTTTTATTCAAAATGATTTCCTCTTTTCAACTCATAATATTTTCCTAACCCGACATTGTAATACTTGTGTTACTTACTTATTACGCAATCCAAATCACATGTAAATTAGCACAAAAAAAAATATATTATTAAGAAACGCACTTGGAATATTGTTATTGTTCTAATTCTGCTAAATTTTTGGTTGCGTCCCTTAACAAATACTCCACAAGTATTATATAGGATTGATATCCGGATTATTGGATGGCCAGTCGATTACTTCAGGAAAACTTTTATTCAAAAAAAAGCTTGTGTGCTTCGGATCATTTATCCTGTTAAAATCTCCAATCATTATTTAACATAATTGCAATTTCAGGTAAATGTTTTTTTTTAAAATATCAACGTAAGATTGACAATTCATAATTCCTCTAAAGCAAAAAAGGCTGGTTTTTCCTTGAAACCTCCCCAAGCAAAGATTTTTGACCGATCTTTTGGCATACAACGGATTGGACGTAGTGTTTCTAAATAATTGAAATGCCGTCTCATCTGAAAATAAAGTTCTTTCCCAATTATCATTAAGATGCTTCGTCGTTTTTGCTTGTGTACCGCAGTTAACATGGGTGTTATAAAAGTATTTCTAAATGTCGTACAATTGTTACATAAGACAAAGTTATGCCTTTTTAAGCAACTTATTTTTGTTAGGGCGTTCTTTGCGTTTTTATGAATTATACTTCCGGATTTTTGACATTATAATAAATTGTAGACCTTGGAATGTTTGTTTTTTTTTTTTTTGAATTACACTTGCACTTATAAATCCTTTATCCCAAAAGTGTTTTACAACTTCATCGTGTGAATTACGTGACTTAGTTATATTTTGGCCGGCCATCGTTAGAAAAAACAAATTTATTCGGCGACAAAAAGTTAAGAAAAAGATGATCTTTGATGTTAATTTTATTTAAATGTACAAAGACTTTTATAAAACACTGACAAATTTTTTATCGCTTGATTTGAAAGTAATGCAGCGTTGGCATTTGGCCGTGGCCAAAATGGCCAAAATGGAACTAGGTATTAGAATTTGATTAATTTGATTGGCATATGGCCGCGGCCAAGCTAAAAGACCGTAAACGACTGCTGCATCAGGACTAGGGTTTTGATCCTTAATCCGGTTATTGCAAAATTGGTTTGGGATAAAATCGATTATATAGTGGAAAGGTTTGTCGTTGAAGCGTTTGTTCGTATATCACATGACCATAATGTTAATTCACGTGACATATTCTGTCAAATCTCTCCGCGTTTCATTTTTTACCAAGTATTATGGGGACAAAATATTTTCGGTAATTAAAATCTTTTAGCTTAAATTTTTTTATCGAAAATTTAAACTTTATATAAATGATAATCCATGTTTTTTTTTTTTAGATATCTTTTCAATTATGTTGGTATTAACTAGTTTTTATGAATTATGATTACAAAGTTACAAAGCATTTATTTACATTAACCAGTAAACTCTTTACATTTAATAGATCACCTATTCATTTTAAAGCCAAATATTAGACACTTTATATTGAATATTATCGTGCTCACCTGTATGATGTAGACGATCTTGTTTTTTAATATTTTTTATGATATCATGAAGTTATATGAAAATTAGCTATACCAATAACGATAATTTATACTAAGCAAATAAATAATACTTATTATTATACATATTAATTCAAGTAACTTATTTCTATTTTTAATATAATAAATAATATAAGTGATAAGTAGTAATTATGAAATATTTTACTAACTGTTAAAGTTTTCAAAAATCCATCGCTCACTTTTAGTTTAGATTTTAAATTTTTGGTCATTGAATTATAATATTTTAGGAGCTAAAGATAAAGGGGGCTAATTAATAAACATCTCAAACAAATTTTTCTAGCAAGTATTTAGATAATTTATTCTGTTTCATTTTCGCGATAACAATTCAATTATGTAGAATCTAATTACACCTTGTGCAAATTTATTTTAATTTCGGATTTTTTTTTAATTTAAGTTTTGAATTTTTATTTTATTTTTAATTAAAGATTTATAACTATAATTTTAAAATAAGTTTTTTTTTTTTAATTCTCATTTAGTATCTAAGTGGTTGACAAAAGAGATATATTTAATTGTTGCAGTATTAATGGTTGTACTTTCATCATATATTTTTCAAAAAAATTAAGAATAATAAAAATAATCAAAATAATCAAATTGAGAAGACATTAAATCTTGCTTTATTATTGAATAAAGCAATTGAAATATTAATAAGTTTGTTAAGATTTCTTTCCAGTAAGATTTGCATAAATATTATTCGTCTAAAATAAGATTTTTAAATTATATTATTATGCTTATAACATAAAAAGGTAAACTAATTTACCTTTTTTTCATGATTCATAAAAGTGAGCCTTACATTTTTTAATATACGATTAATTTTATGCTGAGCATCTAGTAGGATCACATTTTATCGACAAGAAATGATGAACTTCTCTTCATAATTTTAAGTCAACATCATAAAATTACACGACAATATCATTATTATGCTTGCATTGATAAATAGTCAAAATTATTGTCCAATTCGTAATGATGATTGGTCAAATTTAGCCACTAACGTGGCTAAATCTAACTGATCGTCATTATGAATTAGACAATAATTTTGATATTAATCATTGTAATGATCATCAGCCAATAGTTTTTGTTTATTTTTATGTAGGAAAGAAATTTCTCACAATTGTGAAATTTTTCACATAAAAATTAAATCTTACTAAAATATTTTTTTTTAAATTCTAAATGCTTTTCTTTCATACTTTTTCAGCATAGGTAAATCGTAATGCAGCTAATATTTTCTCAATACTGATACAACCTTTGCAACTAGCAAGAAGAAGCTCTTGATAGATTTTAAGTAAGAGCATATCTGAATGTTAATAAATAAGTGAAGAAATAATATATTTTATCTTATGAAACGTGAAAGTGATTCATTAATGAAGTGTAGAAGCTTAATAGTACATTTTGATTATGAAGGTTTGCCATTTCTATATGAAGATTTGGTTAAAACATTACTTTATTGCAACTAAAATGATGTTTTAAGAGCTTCTTGAAGTTTGATAAAACACTTTTAGAGTCAATATCTTTGTAACTGAAATGAAACTTGAGTTTCTACACTAATACATCTCATTTCACACATATTTTCTTTTATGCATTTCTATGTACTATCACATTACTTACTATTCAAACATATTTCTTATTTTTACATTTTTCATTTCAAAAATAGAGTACAGTGATATATTTAGGACAAGACTTCTATTTTGATGAAATAAAATTCTAAAGAATGGAAGGACTTCTTTGATAATTATTACTGAAAATAAAATGAAGAACTTTTCATATTAAGATATCAAAATTTAAGGTAGATGTGGGAAAAGTTTATTTCTGATATGGGCAGAAGTATTATATAGTCATTTTTATAGATCAAAGCAAGTAATCTTTTAAATAGCGTTAGCTTTAGTAAAATAATATGATGTAGAGTAATTTATTACAAATTATCCCTTTATTATTGACTATATAATAACCTCTTAACCTCTCACTAATATATTACTGATGTATTTTGACGACGCTCACTATGTAATATATCCTAAAATCTAGAGTATTTAAGTAATTCATTAGTTCTGGCTGTTTCTTAGGAAGTAATAAACCGCAAAAATTACTCATGTGCGTCTTCTTTTTTTTATTAAACATAAAAATGAATAATTTTAAAAATTTCCTGATTATGTACTAATGCTACTAATAAATGAAATGAAGAATCAGTCTAGTATTATGAAAGAGGAAGCTTTCTAAAGAGTCTGAAAAGTGATTAAAGTATAAAACTGTTTTTGGATTATAGTTTTAAAAATTTGTAAATTAATTAAATAAAATTTATAAATTATATATAGTTATTACTGTAAAGTGAAAATTAATAAAAAAACATAATAATATATTATTTATGTTAAATAAAAAGAGTAAGAGATATAGTATATATAAATATATATATATATATTAATAAAGTTATTATATAAATTAGAAAGGAAGAATAGGACAATTTTTGATTAAAGATTTAAGATTTATTATTGATCGCATCTGTAAATAAAATTTTTTATAATACTTACTTGAACTATACCAAATATAATTTTATACTTGATCAAATTTCAGCTTGTAAAATGAAAAAGACATAAAACTTAACAGCATCGCAAGTGATAATTATATTATTAAATAATATCTTTTGAAATGTGTGGTGTTTTTGTAATTATATATATATATGAATTTTATATTAAATAGTATCATTATTATTAAAAAACAGATAAATAGTGAACTGAAAATATATTCCAATGATGCTATATAAGAAATCCATTTTGGAAATTGATATGAATTTATTCTTAAAATCTATAATGATAATGTACGAATGATAGTAATGAAAAAAAAAGAAAAAGAAAATTTTCAATCAACCATTAATACACTATCCTCAGATAAGTATCCGGTCAGCTAAAAAATTATTTATTTATTTAAAATTTTAAATATAATTATACAATTTAATACTCAGTAGGTCATTCTTGATTCTTAATACATGCTTCAATTCTATGTAACATGCTTTCTATAAGTTTAATGTAAGTTTCAAATGAAATTTTTCTTTACTTTTCTTGTAATATTTCTTCAAGTTTATAAAGATTTTTTGGATGTACAAAACGTTTAATACGCTTTCATTTAAGTTTATTCTATAAATTCTCAATTTAGTTAAAATCTGAAGGTTGAGAAGGCCAATTAGAAAGTACTTTAACCAATTTTTGAATAATCTAATTTTTGATATCCTTTGCTTTATGAACTAGAGCATTGTCATCTTAAAATATATAAGGCTGTTTGTGATTTTTGATCGAATAAATGGCAATAAATTTTTTTTTTAAAATATT